TTTGTCTCCCTCCCCCATCAGTACAGTTTCCCACAAATTCCCCCCGGGTGATTAAGTTTCATGGTGCTTTGCCAGATGGCATATTCTCCCACTTTCCTGGTCCTCCAGCGGCTGTCAGAAATACAGGCCAAGCACTCTTACCTCAAATTTACATTAAGGAGTTTAATTAACAGAAATGACTCCATAACCCATAGATCACACTCTCAATGCATAAGCTATATGCAGACACATGGAAGCTCTCGGCTGGCTCCCTTACTTCTGGGGACCTAGTCACATCACCCACTGCTATCAAATCAAGCTGTGATCTTTCCTTCTTCCTTAGGAGAAACCTTGGCAGCATGGGGCACCAGCCTTAAACATGAAATGTTGCACTATTCTCCTCCTGCAGACCCTCTTCCCTGAGGCACTGAGTGTGTTCCCCCTTAGAGTCCAATAGAAGTAAGTTCCGCAGCATTAGCTCTAGATGTTGGATCTGGGCAGTCAACTGCTGGCCCATCACCTCCCAGCCCTCAGGAAGGAGGCTACACGCCACATGAGTGTAGGGGCTCAACTGCCTTCCCCCAAAGAGGCTGCATCCCTGGGTCTTTCCTGATTCTGAAGTGGGCAGAAAACCCAGAGACATTTACATCAAGATATGCTGGAAGCTGTACCTGCTTTGATCCCCTCATCTTGGGCACCTTTTCTGTTTTATCCCTTTTCTCTCCAGAACCTCACTAGTGGCCCTCCTTGTTGCTTTGCCTCTGACAGTGCACCAGGAGCCTCTCCTTAGAGTGCGTTTCTGGTCCGTAGCCCTGTTGTGATAGCCCCCAGTCTGACGGTTCTCAACCAGCAGTACCAGTCTCCAGGAGACACATCAAACTCCAGAGTGCAGTTTTGGTTGGACAAAAGATGAAGAAGATGGCAAGTTGTCCTGTAATGTTCTCAACAATTGTCTCTTGTCCTGTGGGACTTCAAATTCCAGCTGGACATTCCTGAAGGTGCCAGACTTGTTCACATGTATCTGAACCTAGTACATGAGTACTTTTTCTCTGAACTTTTAATCTGCAGTGAATAGTCCAGGAACACAACTGCAGCGTCAAACCAGGGAATTTTGTTTCTTGTTTTGGTAATGAACATTACCAACATTCACCATCTTGGAAATTTTGTTCATCATTTTGGGAATCATTACTGATGGTAATGATGTTCATCTGAGTCACCAATGTAATACTCCTGTGTGCCTCTGCATGTGTATATGTGCATGTAAACATACGAGGCTGCTTACTTCATTAGGTCTTCTAGGGCAATTATGCCCAGCATTTACATATCAAAATGCATATTGTTTTATTATCATTCATTTCCTTCCACACAGCCTGAATACTATGGGTGCTGAATTAGTTTGAGTTTTAAAAATTTTGAGGTTGGTTCTGTTTTGTCTCTTTTCATTCTAAAGATCATAGAGGGTAGACTGTTTATGGCCACAAAATCCTGCCTCCAAGTGTGCATGTCCTTTGCAGTGGGATGCTGCCACTCTTCCTGTTCACAGGGGAAGTCTGTTTCCTCATCTCCTGGAATCTGGGGTGGCCCCGAGACTAGCTTTGATCAACAGATTATGTAGAAGGGATATTACATAACTTTCAAGGCTAGATCTTAAGTTGCTTTGCATTGTCTGGTATCAGCCTCTTGGAATACCATCCAGAGACCACTAGGCCAGGTGTGACTTTCCACAGTATGAACTGGGATGCATTTGCTGACAGCTAATACAACTGCCAGAGATGAACAAAGCCATCATGGGAAAAAAATTCAGAATCCAGAGTCTCTACAACGTAGTATGCAATGACCAGCAGACAATTAAAATTTGCTGGATACAAAGACACATAAAATGTGCACAATAGTCAAAAGAAAAAACAGTTAATAGAAACAGACTTCAAAATGACCCAGATGTTGGAAGTAGTTGACAGGTCTTTAGAAAAGAAACTATGAAAATAAAGATTTAATCATAATGAGCAGATAGAAGAAAGGAGATTTAAAAAAAAAAAAAAAGAACCAAATGGAAATTCCAGAGTTGAAAACTACAATATCTGAAATGAAAAATTTGTTTATGGGTTTAATAACAAACTGGAGATGCCAGAACAAAGGATGAGTGAAACAGAAGGTGGATCAAAAGAAATTACCCAATCTGAAGAACGGAGAAAAAAATTAATTGAAATAAAATTGAACATGGTCTCAATGACCTATGAGATAATATCTAATGGCCTATTGTATGTGTAATTGGAGTCTTAGAAGGAGGAAAGAGAGAAGATCAGTCAGAAATAAACATATGGAAAAAACAATGTTGGAAATTTTGTGGAAACATAAACTTGCAGATCCAGGAAACTCAGCTAATCCCACAGCTGGATAAATATAAAGAAAACTGCTACCTACACACATTGTCGTCAAACCACTGAGAACCAAAGAAAGGAAAAAAACTTGAAATCAGAGACAAAAACTTCTTTACATCCTGGGGAACAATGATACAAATGAGAGCAGACCTCTCATCAGAAACAATGGGGATCCTAGGACGATGGAATGTGTCTTTAAAGTCAACTCGAAATTCTTTATTCAGTGAAAAGTACCCTATTCATGTAAAAAAAAAAAAAATGAAGGCAATAGAAAGTCATTTTCAGCTAAACCAAAGATGAGCAGACCTGCATTTCACAAGATGTTAAAGGAAGTTTTTCAAATGAAGGGAAATGGCACCAGATGGGAACTCGGATATAAAAGAAAGGATGAAGAGCATTGATGATGGTGAAATGTCAGTAAATATAAAAAGGCAATACTTTTTCCTTTTTTGTTGTTTTTAAAAGACAAGTGACTGCTTCAGGGGAAAAGTTTAGCATTATATCATGGGGCTTGTAATGTATGAAAATGGGAAAAAAAAATGAAAATGGTGCAAGAGATGGGTAAATATAATTTTATTGTTGTAAGGTGCTTAACACTGAAAAATACTTTGAGAGTACCCCAGGTTTGCTGGTGTCCTAGTCTGAGTGATGGGGACAAGCACAGAGCAGGCAGCCCCATCTCTGCGGGGAGATGGAGGAGAGGGCAGGGGGCTAGGAAGCCCCTAGAGCAAATGTTCTGCTCAGGACTGAGATGTTTCTTGGGCTTAGGGTAGACATTTAGGGTTGCTAAGATGAAAAGACTGCATGAGCTTTTCTCTGCGTGGGCACAGAGAAGAGCTAAAAGTCTTGAACTTTTAGAGTTAACGGTAAACTCTGAGATGAAAATCTCCCTTCCTTACATCTTACAGATGGAGAACCTGAGACCAGGAATGATGAACCACTTTGCTGTGAAGGATTGGCTAGGTAGTAACTGTGTTCAGGATTTGAATCCTTGTCTTCAGGTCCTGAACTCTGCTCTCTTTCCCACGCTACTTCCCTAAGCCTCTCCAGGTCTTCCCGGGAGGGCTGCCCTCCTGGCCAAGCACTCTAGAATCATCTTTGGATCCTCATAAGAGAGACTGCAGGACTGTTAATCACTTAATACCTAGAGAGCAAACAACGTGGTACCATTGACTGGAGGAAAGCATTCCCCAGGGCTCCCAGTACAACTGAGAACCCAGCACGCAGCCTTTATCTCGTTTCCATCAGCATAACCTGCTAGGAAGAGAACATCAAGGCTTCTCCCTGGCACCTTATCACTAATAAGATCAGTCAGATCAGTGGGGTGTGGGGAACCGTGGTGTGAATGCTCAGCGTGGATGGGAGGATGCTGTTACCGTAGCTGCAGCTCATCTAGCTGCCAATCCTATCAGCAGAGGAGAAGCTTTGCTCTTCAGAAGGGGATAATCCTCCGGGTCTGTTTCACACTGAGGCAGGGCCTCTTCCCAGCCTGCTTCACTCTCTGGAGGTGAGGGAGGGAGCGGCAACCCCCCTAGGCTGGGTCCAATTTGTTCCCCACTTGTAGCCTTAGGAAGGCAAAGTGGGGACACTCAGAGCCATACAGAGATTCCACTGGGCTTTTGTCTCTTTACTTCTGGAAGTGTCTCTCATCGTAAATTTTCACATATTGCATATTAAATGTGGATTTTTTTCTTACTATAAATAACTTTAAAGGACATTTACAATTTTGCTTTTGAACTGATTGGGTCACAAGTAACTAATTTAGTGTTGGTTATGGAAAAATACCATGGACAGAGGAGCCTGGTGGGCTCTGATCCATGGGGTCACAGAGTCGGACACAACTGAAGCAACTCAGCGCGCGTGCACTAGCTTTCTCAGACATTCTCCTGAATACTGGGCATTCTTGCAAGGTGACTAAAACTAATATACATGTTGTTTTCAAATGTAAGGAAACCTTTTACATGTTAAAAAAATTATTTATTTATTTGCGGCATGCCAGATCGTTTAGTTTTGGCATATGAGCACTTAGTTGCAGCATGTGGGATCTAGTTCTTTGACCAGGGATTGAACTCAAGCCCCCTTCTTTGGGAGTGTGGAGTTTTAGCCACTGGCTCCCCCAGGGAAGTCCTTCCTTTTGCACATTCTAAATATAGCCACTAATGAAGTCAGTCTCCAAGTTCTGTCCTGTAAATTTTTAGCATTCTATTAAATTTGTGTTTTTGGTTTTCTTTTCATATTTTGGAACCAATATCTTTTTTCAGGCCTTAAGGACTTTCACAGGCTCTAGGCTCTCCCCTATCACACCTAGTGGATAAGATGACCTCATCTCAGTTCTGCCCCTTGTTAGCTGGTCACCTTGGGGGAGGAGGGCCTGGCCCCGTCTGAGCCTTATTTTCCTCTGTGGGTCTTTGAGGAGCAGAGTGAAGCTGCCACTGCATCCTCTGTTCCGGGATGTCATTTTGGGAATAGGCTGGATAGCAGGTAGAGCCAATCCAGGTGAGTCTAGAGTTTTGACATACAAAATCTAGGGGGCCAGATTCCCCCTACTTGGCAGGTGAGGGGTTAATCAGGCTGGAATCTGAGCCCCAAACTGGGGCCTCCGTTGCCTGAGCAACAGGTGCCTGCTCTGTGCTGTGACTCAGATGGATGTGGGCTTTGTGAGTGGGCTCCAGCCCCCCAGGACTTCCTGCCTATGACGCTGGCTCCTGATTCAAGGCAAGCAGCCTGAGTCACTGCTGGAACTTCTCCCGCCTCCTCCAGCCAGTCATGGGACCTGCCTCCCCCTCCTAGGTGCTGGGACCGTGGGAGAGGACTCTGAGCACAGCAGCCCTGGGATGAAGGATGGGAACACACCCTTCCTGGCTTTTGCGGGTATGCAGGATGCAACCCTCACTGCTCATCCCCTCACTACAGACCAGAGAATCCCCACCACCCAACACTGTGTCCAGCGGAGCAGAACTTCTCACCACTTCTCCAACATCTGCTGTCCTGCTCCTATGCTGTTGTTTATTCTTTTTCCTCCTGCTTTATTCATCTGGGATCCCACGGTTGACCATGCCCCTTTCCCTGGGAAGACATCCTTTTTCTCTTTGCCTCTATAACTCCACGCTCATCCCTCTGTCTCAGGCCTTATCTCCTGTCTTGTTTGAATTTTGGCCAGTCCTGCCTTCTCTGTGAAGAGCTCTCTAGGAACCTTTTGGGCCACAGACAGTGGGATGTGTTGCTCTTTGTCCGTGCATGCTAAGTCGCTCCAGTTGTGTCTGATTCTTTGCGACCCTGCACTGTAAGCCTGCTGTTCACCCAAACCCACTTCCCTCTTTCTCCTGGCCACACAGATGGACTACATTTCCCAGCTTCCTTTGCAGTGGCATTGCCCTTATGACTGATTGTTCTAACCACTGGAAGGTGACAGCGGATACCCTTGCACTTTCTGGACTAAGACTGTTTTTTCTTTTCTTCTTGGACACACCACGTGGCTTGTGGGGTTAGTTCTCTGAACATGGATTGAACCCTGGTCCTCGGCAGTGAGGGTGTTGAGTCCTAAACATGGGACCATCTGGGAAGTCCCAAGACTTTCTTTTCTTACTTAATGTTATAAAGGTATAATTTACGTACAATGGAATGCACGCTTTACACGTGTGCCATTTGATGGGTGGATGTCCCCACTACCAGAGGGATGTAGACCATCACCACCACCACAATCAAGTTATAGAATAGTTCCATCGTCCCAAGGGTTTTCTTGTGAGCTTTTGCAGTAGACCCTCCTCCCACCCCAAACACAGATATCACAGATCTGCTTTCTTAGATCTTAGGTGCCATTTATATGACATCTTAGACTATGATGTCAACCAACCCTAGACTGGTTTGCATAGTTTAAGATGTCATATAAATGCAAATTGCACAACATGAAATATCTGGCTGGCTACTTTTGCTTAAGATAGTGTTTTGAAATCCATCAATGTTGTTGTATGTAGCGGTAGTTTTTTTGTTTTGTTTTATCTTTTTGCTGAGTAGGATTCCATTATATGAATCTGCCACAGTCCCATTAATTTTAAGCATTCTGGTAGGTGTGTCATGGTAGTTTTAATCTGCATTTCCTTGATGACTAAAGCTATCAAGCATCCTTTTGATGTACTTCTTGGTTGTTTGTATATCTCCTTTTGTGAATGCTTTAAAAACATTCCCTCATTTAAAAATGTCTTCTTATGACTGAGTTCAGGTCTTTATATAGTCTGGATGCAAACCCTTTGTCAGATATATGGATTACAAAAATGATCTCTCTGTGGCTTGTCTTTTCATTTTGTCAATAGTATCTTTTGAAAGGAGAAAATTTCATTTTATTGCAGGCCAATTAATTGGTTTGTCAATTTTTTTTTTTTTGATGATTTGTTCTTTCAGTATCTTGTTTAAGAAATCTTTGTCCCAAGTCACTGGATGAAAAACTTAAGAAAACAGATGTATCTTTCCTCCCTCCTTTGTCCTCTTCCTTTGGCTGGAAGCAGATAAAAACAAGGACCTAAAGAGATGGAGAAGCTTTAAGATGAAAGGAGTTGGGGATCTAATCACTGCATGAAGTAGAGTCCCCAGCCAGGAAGGACCACCTTCCTCGGACTGGTCACAGAAGGCAGAAAGGAACGCCTGCTGTGTTTACACCACTAAGATTGTGGGTCTACTTGTTATGGTAGGTCGGCCTGCCTGGAACTTATATCTCTCCAGTTGTGCAGACAGAGTTCTTAGCCCAGCAGTCCCAGCAGAGTTACTGCCAATGATGAAAGGACCACCGCCACTCATCACTCCTCTCTGTTCCTAAACGTCCCCATTGACCTTCTCCAAAGAGAGCAGATGGTGAACTCCGAGGACGATTTGCACCCATCTTCACTGAAGTGTTAAGGTGTGGTACCTAAATAGCATTGAGCTGCGTGAGGTGAGGACAGATGGGGTGCTGTGTTCCCCCAACCCCTTGTGAACCCAAAGTGGAGACGTTATGACCTTCAGCCAAACTGTTATCCTCTTCCTCACTATCTGGTCCCCCATTCCCATCGGTTTGCCTTTTGAGTCTGTATGAATGCACATTGCCTTTAATTTCTGGGGACTGTTCCAACTCTGCCTTCTGTGCTGTTATCAAGTCTCTTAGGTTGGGTCCAGTCTTACTCCCCATTGGATAGGGTGTTGTTGTATCAAGTGTTCTTATCAGGTCTGCCTTTAGTTTCTTTTATGCTTTACTTTATTCATTTGAAGTTGTATTTATTAACTATAGGACAGAAGCAAAATAACAATCTATAGACTATATGTTAGCTATAAAAACTATTGATACAATGAATACTGTGTATCATCACCCAATATATGGAAAAAAGATTATAAATACCTTTGAAATTCCCTCTTTGCCCTTATCACTTCCCATCCCCTTCCCTTCCCTCCTAGGGGTGATAACTATCCTGAATTTTATGTTTATCATTCTCTAGCATTTGTTTACAATTTCTCCACATGCTTGTGTCTTTATTTTTTAAAAGTTTTGGCTGCATCTCGCAGCATGTGGGACCTTAGTTCCTCGACCGGGGATCAAACCTGTGCTCCCTGCATTGGAAAGCGGAATCTCAACTGCTGGACTGCCAGCAAAGCCCAGCTTATGCCTTTAAATTGTAATATATGGCTAACACTTTCATCAGTAATGTATGAGCTTAATGAGGAATAATTTACATATCCTAAAATCCACCTATTGTGATGGTATGGTTCAATGATTTTTGGGGGTAAATTTGTAAAGTTGTGCAGCCGTCACCACTCTCGTTTTAGAATACTTCCCTCTCTCCAAAAAAGATTCCTAGGGCCCTTTTGCTGTCATTAAAAAAGAATACACTCTAGTGGGTATGAAATGTATCTCATTGTGGTTTTAATTTTCATTTCCTAATGAATATTGATACTGAGCATTTTTCATGTCAGTGACTATTCATCTGTCTTCTTTTGTGCCATGTCTTTTCAAGTCTTTGGCCCATTTTTAAAGTTGCATTACTTGTCTTTTTGTTATTGATTAGTAGGATTCCTTATAGATTCTGCACATGAGTCCCTGGTTAGAGATACGTATCATGAATATTTTTCTCAGTTTGTAACCTGTTTATTCATTTTGTTAATAGCGTATTCTGATAAGCAGAAATTGTGGTTCGTTTGACTTGTTAATTTTTCTCTTACGATGCACACAGTGAAAGCTGTACTTCTGACACTTCTGGTTAACAAATGTGTGAGCCACCTCCCACCTCCACCCCCGCCAAGTAGTTCTCTGTGACATCGGTTGGTGTCCTATAATTTAACTCAGTTCTGACACTCACTGTCTACCTGGAGATAATGCCAGGTTCTACAGGGTAAGGGTTCAGTCCTCCAGGACTTCCCTGCCCAACTTCAGATGCCAGCTGGAAGTCCAGGTCGTCCCCTGTGCTTCTGATGACTCTATCAACTGGAAGTTTCCATGACCTCCTTCTTTAATTAATTTTAATGAATTAATTTGCTAGAGCAGCTCAGGAAAACAGTTTACTTACTAGATTACTGGTTTGTTATAAAAAGAAAATACAACTCAGGAATGGCCAGATGGAAGAGATATACAGAGCAAGATATGCGGAAAGGGGTGCAAGCTTCCATGTTCCTTCCAGCATCACTCCTCTGGCACCTCCATATGTTCATCAACCCAGAAAACTCCCAGGATCTTGTACCTTGGGGATTCTTATAAAGGTTTCATCAAGTAGGCATGACCAATCATTAACTCAATTTCCAGACCCTCTCCGGAGAATGCAGGTTGGACTGGAAGTTCTACATTTCTGATCATGGCTTGGTCTTTTGGGTGACCAACCCCCATCCAACAGTCCACCAAGAGTCACCTCATTAGAACAAATGACATTCCTATGGCCCAGGAAATTCCAAGGAATTTAGGATCTCTGAGCAGGAAGCAGACACTTATAAGTACATATTTTTTATCGTCTCACATTTTGTCTACCCAAGTCTCAAAGATGTCATCTTGTGTTTTCTCTGTTTTTTCTTCATGGTTCTAGCACTATATTTAGGTCTCTGATCTATCATTAACTCCGTTTTTGCATATACCGTGAGGTAGGAGTTGAATTATTTTCTTTTTCATATGGATATTCAGTTATGCTCTCACCATTAAAAAGAAGACTTTCTCCTAAGGAATTGACTTGTTCAAAACCTAATTGACCATGCATGTGGGTTTATTTTTTTTTGGATGTCCTATTCTGCTCTATTCACCTTTTAGTTTATTCTTGTACCAAAACCATACTGAATTGAATACTGTTGCTTAATAGAAAGTCTTGAAATTAATTTATAGCTCCCAACTTTGTTCTTTTTCGGTACTATTTTGGTTCTTCTAGGTATCTTGAATTGTCATATAAGTTTTACAATCAACTCATCACTTTCTTCAAAACTCCTTTTGGAATTTAGGATTGTGAGCTATAGATCAATTTACAGAGAGCTGACATCTTAATAACATCAAATTGTCCAATCCATGAACACTATATATCTTTACATTTATTTAGATCCTTAATTTCTCTCCTTGGTGGCTCAGCTGGTAAAGAATCCACCTGCAACGTGTAAGACCTGGGTTCGATCCCTAGATTGGAAAGATCTCCTGGAGAACAGAACAGCTACCCACTCCAGTATTCTGGCCTGGGGAATTCCATGGACTGCATAGTCCATGGGGTTGCAAAGAGTCAGACATGACTGAGCAACTTTCACTTTTAATTTCTCTCAGCAGTCTGTGGTTTTCTGTGTAGTGGTTGCACCTGGATCATTAGATTCATTCCTAGGCATTTGCTTCTATTAATTATATTGCAAATGATATTTTAAAAGTTTTCCTTTTCCATTTTTTGTTGCTA